CCTTGGCCTGGATGTCGCACGGGCTTCTTCCACTGCAGATCTACCCCTATAACAACCTGGTGGTACTAGTACCCCCACTTCGCAAGGAAGTGAGTCTTGAGCATTCCCCAAGAACTGCAAACATGCCATCCTAACTGCTTGGATGTGCCCACTAAAACTTGTCACATTGATCGGCCTTCACCCCACGTTCTGGTTGAGGCATGAGCTCTATATAAAGGTAAGCATTTGCCTCATGACAGCTCAACATATATTGACTTAGGGCTTGTTTGGCAAGCTTTTTTGGGAAGATATTTTGATAGTTCTAATAGCTAAAAGACGCATTGAGCTTTTGCATGAAGATCTAAACAGCCCAAAGTTAGTTTGGTAGATACATGACTTTCTGTGCGTCCTTTCATGTCTTTTCATGCGAGAATAAAATGTAAAAGATGTGAAAGGCTTCATTTAGAGCTTCTCAAAATCTGCCCAAAATCGGCTTCTCGCGTCTTTTTGGCGCTTTGGCTTTTAGAGGCTAGATTTTTCACGAACCAAATAGGAATAGACTGAAAAATCGGCCTGCAAGGCTTGTGAATAGCCAAAAGACCGCACAAAAAGATGCACCAAACAAGCCCTTAAACGTTAGGATCCATAGCCCAAAACATCTACCCGAGCCCCCAACTATTGTTTCCTCTACAAAATCCAACACTAGAGTCTACATCTGAGCTCAAGGGTCCTAGTTGCAGTAAGGATCGAGTTGTTCGCTTTTTTTATATTCGTTTGGCTATCTATAATTTACCCCAAAACTCAATAACCAATTCTTCTTTGTCTATTTGGTTTGTATCATGGTTGGCCCATTATCCTCTGATCCAATTGCATAGTGAATTTAAACTGGTATCCAGTCCAAAAGTTCAATCCATCGTTTCCAAGATTCAAGTTCTCTAAAGTTGTGTTTGGTTTGAAGGAAAAAGTACAGATAGAAAGGGAAAGGTAAGGAAACCAATACAAGCTTTGTAAAGGTTTCCTTACTTTTCCCTTCCTTTTCTTACATTTTCCTTCAAACCAAACATAGCCTAATGTTGACAAACGAAGAATAATCATAAGGCCCAATATGCATGTTGCGTGTTGGTATTCTTCTCTCTTATATGAGCGGATACTAGTTGTAAATGGGTTCGACTCATCATTCATGGTCAAAGCCATTGGGTCCAAAACAGAACAACGGTACATGTCAAATTGAATAAATTAAATTTTAAAAAACTGAACTTATAAAATATAAAACTGATCCAAAACCAAATCAAATTACTAAAAAGGGTTCGACTATGATATGGAAAATATATAATATCTGAAAAATAATTGACCAATAAAAGAAATCATAAACATGATAGTGAATTAGGTGTTATTTATCAAAATTCATGGGTGGGTTTTGATTGGTCAAAACTCTTTCCATATCATATATTTTTCGTATCATAGATTTTCCCTATTGAAAAACCAAAAAAAAATCTAAAACCAAAATTTTCAGTTTGATTTTTGGTTATTTCGATTAAAACCAAATTTTGTTACTATTATATTAATACATACTATATTATATATATATATATATATATAAGTATGCATATGCTAATGTATATTATATATAATATATTATATACATATTATAATATATATTATATTATGTATATAATAAATTTCAGTTAATTCAATTTTTTCGGTTAACTGAATTTCTAATCCTGAAAACCAAAACCAAAATTTTTTAAAACAAAATTAACTGAACCAAACAAATCAAAACCACAAATTTTGGTTCAGTTTTTTCGATTTTAACCAAACAATGCTCACCCCTAGGACCCACTATAAAAGTGGGACACGTCATGTATGAGATGTACAATGTCATATTGTGGTGATAGGGGTTGGAATGTATTTTGTTGGCGAGAAAATCAAGTATGCAAATTTTCAATTTCTTTTCGGTGCCATTTGGTTATGTGAAAATTTAGAATTTCGCRTTCTTTAACTCTCTAATTGTATTGTTAACTAGCCGTCAAGTGGCATTTGAACAAACACAAATGTCCTTCGAGTGTCATCTAATTTTCCTTATCAACCATCCAAACATTGACAAAAAATAACAGTCCTAAATCATGGTCTCTTCTATTCAAAGAAAGTTGGGATCACTTGAATGCCCATTGATACATGACCCCAACTTTCTTAAATAGAAGATAAAAGGATTTGGGACTTTTCATTTTTTTTCTCAATGTTTTGATGGTTAATAAAGAAAATTAAATGACATTCAAAGGGTTTTTGTGTCTTTTAAAATACCACTTAAATGTCTGGATAACGACAAGTACTGGATTGATACATTTTGAAAGTTCGGGTACTAAATTGTTGTGTTTTAAAGTTCTGGGACCAAACTGGCACTAGGCCCTAGGGGTGAGTATGGGTTAGTTCGGTTCGGTTCCATGGTAGAACCTGGAACCTACCCTATAAAGGCCAGTGTCGACACAAATTTYGTGCATAAATTTGGAGCACAAAAAAATAATGAAGATAAATCAAAGGAATTTGATTTAATTATTTTTTTTTGCAGAAATTTAAGTGGGATACAAACTCTTCTTTTTTTTGGCAAAGAAATTCTCTGATTCTCTTATCACAAGTACAACCTGAACTTGTACTTGTAGCTTGTCAGAAACACGATCGAAAAAGCTTGGTGACTTGTAGTTGTAGAAGGAACTTGCAGTGACCAATTGTATATGAGCAAAGCTTTTGTTTGCGATCAATTGTTGATTTGAACATGAGCTGCAATGCTAACATTTAGTTGTAAAAGGTCATTTGGTTGTAATAAATTGATGAATGCCTTCTTGGCTGAAAGGATTTGTCGAAAGCTTTTTGACTCTAGTAATTTGATAGAAGCTTTTGATTGCAATAAATTGAAGACCGAAATCCCCCAATTGATGTAGCAAACTTGTAGTAGCTTTGAATCTTCAATAGTTGAGGAGATGAAAATTTGAATCTTCCTTGATCTAGATGTAGCCATCCCTTCTTTTTTTTTCTTTGTCAAAAGCAATGGAAGAAAATGAATTAGGTAGCCCAAGGGGAGCTCTGAGGGAGAGAGCTGAAGGAGGGCTTCCTCTTGTTTTCTCTTCTATTTATAGAGGCTCACCAGTAGACGATGAACTTGTTTAAAAGATTTGAATTGATTTGAATGGTTTCAATTTAATTAATCACCATTTAATATTGATTGAAATGGGGGCCACTAAATTGACATATCGGTGATCACTTTGTTGAACTGATTAAGGTAATTAGGTCATTTAACTGAAGTCAATTTCAATCCTTAGCTGTCCTTGCAACAAGTGCCACTTGACACATGGTTGGGACTACACATAAAAGAAAATTCAATTGATTAGTTGTAGCATTCCCTCTTAAATTACACTAAATTGGATTCCATTGGGATTCGACAATTCAATTTAAATGCTCTTCTCTAGGTTGAAATGGCAAGTGGTTAAGGGGCCATGTTGAACTGATTGAGAAATCATTTGTGAAAAGGTCATTTGGCAGCTGGGTGTCATAACACCTCATGGGTAATGTGGTCGGTGAAGATCCAACCAAAATTCCCCCCCCCCTCTTTTTGTTTATTATTTATTTTCTTCAATTCATGTTGGGTTCCAACACATTGGGCCAATATATTAGAGGGCCCATACATTAGGTCCCACTAAAACCTTCTATCCCATTAGACCCAACGTGCCCTACTTAATTTTACATCCGTTGGGTTGAGACATCAATCCATTCAATCCTTGTCATTCTCTCCTCTTAGTGGGCTCAATAGGTCATTTTCATTTAATCTCATATTGGGCTCTATTAACTTCACTTATTGGGCCCAAAATTTACATTCCAATAGCCAGTTTCTGGTTTTTGGAACTAGAACCTACCTTGTGAAGGTTGGTTCTAGCATTGGTGGTTTCGAGGTCGGTTCCAGGGCCTATCCATGGAGCATATTCTTTCTTTACTCTCCCACTTAAAAAAAGTATATTTTAGAAACTCGGTTTTCAATAAATATAATAATATATTTTAAAAAACAATACATATAACCTATATTTCTTTACTGATTAAATTGAATAACTTAATATATAAATTATCATTATATAGTTCAAAACTTATAATTTAAATTTAAATTTTATAAATATTACTTTTTATATTATTTACTATATACATTCAAATATTAAAATGAAAGCAAATGATCAAATAACTTTTTTATCAGCATAATGGCCTTTGAAKACAAATTCGATTTTAAGATTGGTTCAACACGTTCCGTTCGAGTAGGATAAACCCTAAACCATGAAACCGGCCTAATACCCCACCTTATAAGTTGTAACAGGTAGGGTCGGTTCACGGTCGGTTTTATTCGGTTCCCGGTAAATGCATTTGCACACTCTTTATTAGGCAATAGGCACCAATTACAGAATACTAATCGGAATTTTCCCAAAAAGAAATGAAGCTTTAGAAGCTTGGATCAGCGAAAACCATCCCTCGCTCATCTCCAGGTTGCAGAAAATGATAACTCGTCTACGGGAAGAAGCCTGACTCACCTGGTTAGACTTAATGCATCCCTCCTCAATGGGGCAATGCTATGACTTTTAAGTAAAAGGAATTAGCCCCTGGTCGTTTCCTCTCGGAAGTCCATAGCAATGGCAACACCGTTGTCGTCGTCACTAGCGACAGGTGGTGGTAGGAATCAGGGCAACAAAGAAGGGACGGCTAAGGCCACGGTGGCTGATCAGATATCTCAGGCGGTTCTTTCAACCTCCAACCTCCTCCACCTCATGCAGCAATCCTCTCCTTCTCAGGTCTCTCTCCTCCTACATCTACAATCCTTTCGTTGATGCATCTGATCAGTACTACTTTACCTCAAATTGAATCCATTTTCTTTTAAAGAGTTTCCTCTCCGTCATGAATCGTTCTTTCTCCTTTGACTTGTATTAATTGCAGGCCCACTTAATGAAGCTCCCAAAGAACCTTTTGGAAAAAACCTCAACCATCAAGAATACAGGGCATGTATGTGATAATTTTGCTTTGGGAGACCTCTCCTTCCAGTTCTTTATATTTGTTCTTTGCTTATTTGAAGCAGATGCTGGAGCAGATGCCTAAGGTCATTTCGTCTTTGGATGCGCACATGGATAGTGCTTTCCAGTGGTTGGTTTTTCTTGATCCCCTCTTTCTGCTAATTATTACAATTGCAAGGTCATGATTAACATCTTCGTAGGTTTTCAGCATGTGTCGTTTTTTATTACTGCTTGTTTGTGGTTTGGTATATTTCAGACAATATGGCTTGCATTTTCTAGATTTTCCATCTGGTTCTGTGTCTCAGTAAATGCACCTGATTTGTGGTATACTCTAGGCATCTAGTGAATAAATCTAACGTGATGCTAAAGGATGAAGATAATCTAAATCTGACCAGAAAGGGGAAATTAACTAGTTTAGCCCATTTGCCAAGTATGCAAGACGCTGAACTGACCAAGACTCTTATAGTGTATTTCAAGGTTTGTGCGAGTACTGCATTAGTTGAATACTTAATTCCATTTTTTTTTCAGAAAAAAGTAAGAAATAAATGGTTTTCAGGCTAAAGCGTGGGCAGAGGAATTTCAAGGACTTGACAAAGAGATTAAATAAGTAATGCAACTTCTTTTCATGCATAAGTTTTCAAGATTCAGGGGAGAGCAATCTCCTTCCCTATGGTTTGGGATAGTTAAAGTCTTGAATTGTCATGTTAGGGAATTCTTGGATTTCATGTTTTGTCAGAATATTACATTACTCTCATTTATGAGTGCATGCCAACAACAATTAATTGTAAAAATCTTTGTATGATCTCGTTGGCAAGAGCTGTGTTAGGCATAAGATAAATGAATGAAACTTTTGTAGTCACTTCAATTTCATTAGGTTCTCATAACAAAAGTTAGGTGGTTGTGGGATCAAAAGGCTGATGGAGTGGTTGACCTCTTAAAAGGAGCTACATGTTGTTGGCTTGACTTCCAGGATCCTCTTTTCCTGAGTATACCAATAAGGTTACACATACCTCTAATGTAGATGTGGCACAAGTTAGATGATTAATAGGATTTGCATTTGGATTGGTAAAGCCCAACTTATGGCTTTAGGTTCTACTCTGGTTGAACTTGAAGCTATTCTTCAGGATATGGTTCCTCATTAGTTTCTTTAATTAGCTCATGATTGTGCACATTACTTCTAGTTTTTCAACTCTCTCTTGTAGCTCCTCTTGAGAGAACCAGGTATTCTTGTTCTACTGTAATAAGCCCTTTATAACTTGTCCAAAACAGGAGCAACTTTTATTGCTCCTTTAGAGGTTTCTATCTCTCTTATGGAGGTGCTATGTTTTTGTGTTTCTCTAATATATGGGCATCCTAAGATCAGCTTTGGAAAATAAAGCTTGACATTAGGACAGTAGTAGATCAGACCCAATGTTTTAAAATGTGGAGGTGTGACGGGAGGCATTCTAGTACCTGGATGTATAAGGCATAGTTCAGAACACTAGAGGCATAAGTCTCTCAACCACAAGGAGGCATAAGCTTTCTCAAGAGGAGGAGGATGAGGAAGGAGGAAACTTCCTTAGAACACTAGAGGCATAGGCCTCTTTTCTTTCCTTTCTTTCTTGCTTTTTTTCTTCCTTTTTGCATGTGTACCAGAGGTGTACACCGCGTGCAAAAGGTATTTGAGGCATATGGATCGTGCAGCTGAGGCATATGACTCAGGCACCTAGGCCTCCAACATATGCCTCACTGTGTTTTGAGTGCGCCTCTAGGCGTATGCCTCAAACACCTTTAAAAACATTGATCAGAGCCTTTTCCCTGATCAACTAATGACTAATCTCAAACTAAGAAGCTTACAATAGTAAGTCCAAATGATGTAGTATCTACTACTGCACCAAAATGGTTTAGGATGGCTATGACCCAAGGATGACACTAGGAGGGTATAAATAGGCTTAGATGAGTTTAGGGATGATTTTATGACTAAAGTTGAAGATTTATAAGGGTTGTAATGGTTCTGGGTAAAGTCGTTGAGAATTGGAGATTTTCTCTAGGACTATAAAAAAATAGTAACTTATCAAAAATATTAAAAATAGTATAGGAATGGATTTTTTAATGAAACTTTGTGAAGATGTTTAAGATGATAGATCATATGGCAAGGTGCCAACAGCTGGTTGGTAAGGTCTCCTGCTGGTCGTAGCGGAGACTTGGGATCGAATCCCGCTTGCACCTGGGTTTGGGGAGGTTATGGGTTGGGGGATGGGCTACCCCCCGTTGTGTGGCCCTTCAGAAGATATAAAAAAAAAGATGATAGATCATATGGGGAAATTTAATTTCAAGACTTCAAGGCATATTGAGCAAGTTGTCCACATAAGGATGAAACTTGCTGAAATGGGAAATTTCAWGTTTTGATGTAAAATCAAGAATAAATACTTTTGGATCAATTCAACCCTCTAGGGATGTTGAACAAAATCCTTTGATGATGAACACATAAGCTTTTGATGGTTGTAATGAATTGTTGTATAATTAATTGTCAAAAAAATTGAATCGTTGTATAATTAGATAGAAGATAGAGAGAAGAAAATGAATTGTTGTGGGGGATGTATGCAGGAGATTTGTTGACTCTAGAACGATTTCTTGGAGGAGCCTTGTTGCTGCTTGTCTTCTGGTTGTCGATGAAATTCAGCTGGTCCCATCTTCTCTTTCTCTTTGATTTGCTAGAGAACATTATGGTTTRGGACTTCTTGTTGAAGGTTTGTACTCATTGAGATGGGTTGAAAATCTAGATTTCTGTTGGAAGGAACTAAGAAAGATTTCTTAGCCGTCTATTGGAAGTGGTGGGAAGACGAACAGTTAGTTGGAAGAGGGAGGGTATGAGGTTGAAGACAAGGGAAGTTTTGTAATTGTTGAGAATATTTGTTCTCATGGGGTTGATTTGGTGGATCTCAACAAATGTGATTCCTGCACACTTTTGAGAAGTAGTGAGAATAGTGGGGCACAAAGGAATTCAATTGAGGCAAATAATAAGTTGTGATCTTCTCTTGATGAGGGAGAGGGTGGTGGTGGGGGGGGAGAGGGTTAAATGATGGGAGATGTGGGGTAGGATAAAGGATTGGAGAAGTCTTTGATGCTAGTTATGAGAGGATTGTTTAAGAAAGGATGCGGGCTGAAGTTTCGAATGGGACCCATGCTTGAACATAGAAATCAATATACAGAGGAAGTGGTTTAGATTGTCATGGCTAAAGGCTAATAGAAAATCTCTTTGCCGCTTCAAACGACAAGAGAATTAGTCTAGGATTTTGAGGAGGAGGATTTCAAGCAAGAAACAAGAAGGGAAGGAAGAATGCTGGATTTATGAGATCTTCAAGTATGATTCAAAAGGAAAGAAGACTGTTTCGAGTTCTGGTTTGGTGATTGCTGAAGGTGAGAACTTACGAAGTGATCTTGCTGCAGCTTGTGCCCCTGATCTTTGCGATTGTTGGTGGGTGACCTCAGTTAGCCTCAAAAGTAGAGAAAAATAAAGGAGCTGAAGCTGTTTCAGCCTAGGAAGTTAACTTTGACTCTAATGAGAAGTCTCTCAAGACTGTAGGGGAAGGCTATAAGTGATGGTTGGGTTGAGGGAGGGGGGTAAGGGGGTTACGAGAGGGAGGAGTGGGAAGAGTGTTGGAAGAAAGTGAAGAAGGGAGGACGATTGATGCTGCGGTTTGCAGGGACTGCAACCAATTAGAGAGGTCAAATGAGGATTGTCGTAATTTCGAAGAAGTGGTGATTGGTAGATTAAGGGTGGATCTAGGACAAAGGAGGAAGATTGATGTGAAGGCTTTGGATGCTGCAGCGATAGTGGTCACCAAGAAACCTCAGGATCCAAGAAATTCCCAAATTATTCACATTACCAAAGTCTTCTCTCGACTGAAACTTGGGCTGGTAGGGGTAGGACTATTGGTGTGAAAATTTTAATAAATTCTCATGCAACATAATTCACTCAATCAAGTGATTGAGATTTTATTATTTTGGGTAAGGCCCATTCAGGGAATCATATGGATTGTTCCCCTTAATTACATCTCCACAAGAAAGTAGAGAACACCTTTTGATTCTGACTTGGAGAAATGAACTTATAGAACAAAAGAAAAGAACAATTGGGTACTTAAAAAGAACTTTTCATTTGCTTTTTTTTTGCATCAAGTGTACAAGAATGAGAAGAAAGAAAAAGAAAAAGAAAATACAATTGAGAAACTATATGGCAATACATTTCTCTTTTCTTTTTAATACAAAGAAAATTTCTTTCTCACTCCTTTCTTCACAATAAACTGTAATCAATCAGATGAAATTCTGATTGTAGAAAGCCTTAATCCTTGGAATTTTGCATACAAAAAGGGAACCGTAGTCAATCAAACTGAATATTTGATTGTAGACGATTTTCATCCCTCTGCTCTTCTTTTTCATTTGAAGGGAACCATAATCAGCTTTCGAGAATTAGACTGTAGACGGTTTAATCCCCAACTTTGTCTTGAAAGAAGGACCATAATCGATCAAGTAGAGACACCTGGTTGTAGATGGTTTATTTCCCTCTACTCTTCATTTTCATTTGAAGGGAACCATAGTCAGTCTTCGAGAATTAGACTGTAGATGGTTTAATCCCTAACTTTGTCTTGAAAGAGGGACCATAATCAACCAAGTAGAGGCACATGGTTGTAGATGGTTTATTTCCCTCTATTTCCTTTCTCAAAAATGAAAATAAAAGAGAGAGGAAGAAGGATACAAAGTAGAAGACATATATAGGAAGTATTCACAGAGAGGACTTTCTTTTTTCTACCTGTATTAGTGAGACTTTTCCTTCCTTGCCTTCCCTTGAGCACTTCTCTTTTCTTCTCTCCTTATCTTTGCTTTTCTTGAGAATCTCTTATGAAATTTTTCTCCGAAGAGTCTCTCCATGTGTGCTTTTAGCTTCCCCTTAAGGAGCTTAAATAGGGAGTGGGGTGGTTATGTAACTACCCCCTCCTCCTAGGTGAAGGACACCTGTCCCTCCCACCTAAAGAGAGGGAACTCCTCACTTAAAGAGAGAGAACTCCCCACTTAAGAGGGGGAACTCCCATACAGGATACTTTTTTATAATTTTAATGATTTGGCTAGTAGACTAGCTAGCCCACTTATTAC